TGCTCAGAACCTTCCAGTTGCTTCCCATCTCAACAGCAAACACCTTATAATGGTCTCCAAGGCTCTGCCTTCTCTCCTCTGTCGTTCCCTCCCTGACCTCATCTCCTGTTACTCTTCCACTTACTCAACCTGCTCTAGCCACACTGGCCTTCCTGCTTTTCCTGAACATGTCATGCACACTCCTGGCTTCAAGCCTTGGGGTTTGCTGCTCCTCTACCTGAAACACCCTCCCTCCAGACATCTACATGACTTCCTTTCTCGTTTTTTGTAGAATTCTGCTTAAATCATACTTTAGAAAGGGGTTCCCCAACCACCTTCCAGAAAGTAGCATCACACATACCCCTACTTCTTCATTTCCTTGTGATATCCTCTGCTCCCCTGGTTTGTTTCTTATGTCTTCCTGCACTAAATTGTCAGCTTTATGAGGAAAAGGTCATAGATTTTATTGCTGAATCCCAGTGCCTAGAATAGGGCTTGCCCTCTAGTAGGCCCTCAATAAATATTGCTGAATGAATGAATCATGAATGCGTAGGCCCCCTGCAGCAGGCAGAATGACGCCCCTCCGCTGATGTCTACACCCCAATCCCCAGAGCCTGCAAATGTGCCCTGCATGGCAAAAGGGTTTTGCAGATGCGATTAAGGGTTTGAGACGAGATTATCCTGGATTATTCAGGGGCCCAATGTAACCACACGGGTCCTTATGAGTAAAAGGGGGAAGCAGAAAGTCAGCATTAGGGAGAGATTAGAAGACACTCTGCTTCTGGCTTTCAAGATGGATTAAAGGGTCACAAGCCAAGGAATTCAGGCATACTTTAGAAACTGGAAAAGGTAGAGAAACCGATTCTCCCCTAAAACCTCCAGAATGAACACAGCTCTTGTTTGAAGATAGCTCAATGAGATCTATTTTGGATTTCTGGCCTCCAGAACTGTAAGATAATAAATTTCTATATTTTGGAGCCACCAGTTGATGACAATTTGTTCCAGCAGCACGAGGAAACTGGTACACCCACTTGCCCCTAATTAGACTGTAACCTCCTTTAGAACAGGGGCCTGGTCTTCCTTGACCTTGCACATCACGAGTGCTCACTGTTCCTGGAGCACAGGTGATTTGGCTTTTTACATAGAGTACCTGACAGAGCATCCCGCCTCTCTGTGCTCACCGCAAAGCCTGACGAACGATGCTGCCACTGGACGCAGCTGGCTTTCCTGGAATATCCTGGGACGTGAGAGCTGAAAGCTGGAGTGCTGCTGAGAAGTAATTCATCCCTCCTTAAACAGTGAAGTTCTCCTCCGTCCTTGGGAGAGACAATAACTTAATCCCACCCATTCTGATCCTTTTAGTGCAGGTCTGTGGGTTCAGGGGCTAAAATCAGAGGTTCTCACAAGATGCCTCAGGGATTCCAGAACTAAAGGCATGAACAACGCCAGACTCCAAGAAGCAAGGAAAACAGTCTAGATCATCAGCACTGGAGGAGCTCAGAGTGGATGTTTCCAAGCCAGAAGTCTGGGAACTAGGGAAGTGAGAGCAAACAAACCAGGAACAAATGGAGAAAGGATTATAGAGTATGGAACTGTCACAGCTACATTTTTAGGCCAACTAAGGCCTGGTACATAAATGGTTTATAATACCAAAGATGGAACGGATGGCACCTGATTTGTGCCCTCACAAATCACTACTGGCTTTGCCCCACTACACTCTCCTTTAAGGCAAAGTGGTGTTTTCAGGCAGTGTGCAAGAATATTGATGGCCCAGTTTTAGTTTTTCCTAATTGAATCTAGCTTTTAATGAGCAGAAATGAATATCCCACTAAGATCTCTAGTCCTAGAGACCAAACAAAAACACCTTAAACTCTGGTAAAATTAAGAAGATCTCAGAGTGTAGTACATAAAAAATCTGATTTCTCACATCTTCCCTATATTTTTAAAGAAAACTTTATAACCCATGCCTGATATGAATAAGGCCTTTTACTTTTTTATTATAAACATTTAGGCTTAAAGTGATTATAACTGACAGTTAAGACCAACAGGAGCCAGTGGCCTGTTCATGGACAAATTATCTGTACTTCAGGCTAACTCAAAAGTAAACATTCTCTAAAGTCCCTTCAGGTCTACATTAGGAAGCCAACCCTCTCTCCTCTACCCCCAGTATACTCCTTGGGTTCACTTTAAAGTGAATGGCCTTTTCCACAAAGCAGTATTATTTAATATATGCATTTTGAATCATTTCCACATCTGAGTTCTTGAATGCTTACTTAGTTGAATTTCCTTGGTCAACATTTAGATTTCATTAGGAGAACACTTGCAAAAGACTGGGCCGTGTTGTTTTATAATCTGTCAGATAATCTATTAAATCTATTAGTGTTTTCCTAAACGATGGTGCAGGGGAGGAGCTGTTCTGTTGACCTTCACTTACTTTTTTCTTTTCTTTTAAATTGCATTTATTCCTTGGAAGAGGAAATAGCAATGAATTCATGGCATTTAATAAATGCTCAGAGACATTAAGTATTATGAAATGTTTTAAATGATAAAGCTATATTCCTAAAAATCTCTATTAGAATGTCCTGATAGTTTAAAAGCAACACAAGCAGTTAGGGGAAAGGCAGCATTCTGAATCACAGAGCAGTGAAACTATTGTCACCAGCAATGATGTCACTCATCCCCAAGGTTCTAAAAGCCTATTAGAAATGAGCTTTAAGGAGAGATGTCTTCCGACTTGTCATTGGTTCTAAAAGGCAGTCAGTGTTAAATAAACACAGGCCCCCTCTTGGAACCTATATAATAAACTCAGACACATTAATCTCTACTCACGTCTCTAGTCAGGGTCTGACCCCTAACTCTTTCAGCTTTAATGGAAGGAAGTAAAGACCAACTGACATTAGCTAACAGAAGTTTATGTAAAGGTTCAGATGTACCTGTAAGCAAATAAGTATATTTTCTTAAACTTTTATTTTTATTGAGTCCTATAAAACAAAAATGTCTCTCCACAATGATACAAGATCGCATTACGCTCTCTACGTACTTTAACAATGTTCGATACCACAAAATTTGGTTTAAGAGCAGGCATAGAGAAAAAAGAAGAGATTGCCTCCTGTTTGGCCTGGATGTTTTGCTCCTTGGACAAAGCACTAACCTCAAAGAAGTCAAAAGGTCTGGGTAGTACCCCTGCTTTTGCCACTAACAAGTTTGTGTGACCTAAAACATCTTACCTTATCTCTGTAGGTCTCAATTGCTTCATGTGTACAATGAGAAGAGTAAGACCTTCTCTACCAACTATTATTATGAAAAACTGCAATAAGAATGAGATAAGGTAAAAGATGTGAATGTACTTAGCAGATCGTGCCATACAAATGATATGACAGTATTTTATAAGACTGCTTCTTTCTTGAGAAGAGAACAAGGTATATAAGGATGTCATATCACATGGTCATATTCTTAGCAATATCAGAAACAGTACACATTCAGGACATAAATGTTTGCCACGATTATTAAATAAAACTCTACTTTGATGCAACTAGCAAATTAAAATGAATAAAGTGATCCCTTTGGAAAAAATAAGTTATGAATTGGGAAAACTAGATAAGATACTAGAAACTTGCCCTCCTGCACCTCCCAATTCTTATTTAATTAGTGGTGTCTCTTGAGTGCTTCTGGGCAAGTTAGTGAGGTAAGCATAGATCTTCGACAGCTCTCTTCTATCCCAGGCTCCAGCTGAAAGGAATGGCAAACAACACCCCGTACACACATACACAAAATAGAAAACTTATATTAGTGTCAAAAACTAGGAAAGGGTATTATCCCATGCCAGAAACATAAACACATTCCTGCTCAATATTGGGCACATCGTACCAGATTAAAGGAAGATAGTGGGAATTTGTAACTTCCTTTCCTGAGAAAAACTGAGTCCCACGAAGAAAGGCCACTGGCCCATTTACAACATCACTGAGGGACCTGAGAGTTTGTACAGTGGTTAGAGCAAGTGGCTGTCATCACTCCAGACCTTACATCTTCGCAGATCGAAACCCTGTGGAGGAAAAAGGACTTCTTGCCAACCATCTCCTTCCATCCCATTTGCTCCGATTGTGATATGTGCCGTCCCTGAATCATGCTGAATAGCCAGAGAAATAAAATGTGCAGCTTACCCTAGGCCTGGGCAACCCTGAGCCATAGTAAATAGGGAGAGGGCCCTGCCAGAAGCACACTGTCCTGGTTCTAGAAAAAAAAAGAGTAAATGAAGGCTTGGCAGCCACATATACTATAACTGCCTGCTCTCAATCACTAGATGCTTCAGGTATATGCAAGTTCAGGAATTTGGTTTATTTAGCAAACCCTTGCTGCTTTACTATTGATTTGGGGACTTCATTGGTCACTGCCATTGTCTCTTCATGCTCATTCATAATGTTACCTGCCACGGTTGCTAGGCTGACTTCGTGATGATTTGTTGTAGACCTAATCCAGCACTTGCTTGTTCTTGAGACTCTGGGCCCCACAACCTGTCCTGCCATTAGGTGTTGGAACAGTGCCTCCAAAAGCTGTTGAGGGTCTCCCTGTCACAGTGTACCAACACACTGCTGGGTTTTTCAAGCTTCGTGCTTTTCTGATAGCTGCCTCCCCTAAGAAGATTCCCTTTGTGCATCCAGAAAGGAAGCTACAGTGTTTTGGACCTGTGAGTCCCAAAAGCTCTCGTAAGACCGTCCCGTCTGCCCAGATGAAGCACTGAACGAAGCGGGGCTGCCCAGGCTGCAGCGTGTGGGGAGGGCGGGTGGCAGCCTCGCCCTCCGTCGCCGCTGCTCCCACTGCCTCCTGTCCCGGCGGAGGAGAAGGGAAGCCACGGCACACTGGCGGGGAAGGCCGCATTCACTCCTTGAGGCTTCTTGTTACCTTAGTACACAACTCACATGGTTTGTTTTTAACGGTCTGCTTCTCTTGTTCCATTTGACCTATAAAAATGCTGACATCCTTTAAGTACATTTCTCTCAAAGAACTGAATGTTTCTTTGTCAGGTCATACTGCATATTTGACAATAATCGTCAGGATCCCACAGGGCTGACAGCTGCTCTTCAAGCCACAGACCTGGCTGGAGTTCTGCACATGCTCTACTGTGTCCTCTTCCACGGTACCATCTCGGACCCCAGCACTGCCAGTCCCAAGGAGAGTTACACCCCAAACACCATCCAAGTGGCCATTCAGAGTTTGCGTTTCTTCAACAGCTTTGCAGCTCTTGATCTGCCCGCATTTCAGGTACCAAGCCTTGGTTTGTGTTGATGTTAACCAACCAGGAAGTAATTCGTGTAGCTATGTTGTGAGGTTCTTCTCCTGGATTGGGGCCTAAGAAATAAACTACAAAAAATGGAATTATAATATATGTACCATTTACTAAGCTACTGTCTTCTGGGAACTGTAGTAGATGCTCTTCATGTGCTTTCTCCTTTATTCTCGCAGTTAAGAAGCTGGCAGTTAAGTATGATAATTTGCCCAAGGTTACATGTCACTGTGCCAGGACTAGTACCATGATTCTCTGACCCCAAAGCCTATGCTCACCCAATGCCACACTTTTGTCTTGAATTCTTTACATAAAGGCATTATCATCTCATCAACTTTTAAATAATAAGGAGAGTTTCTTATATAAACAGAACCAAAATTAGATAAATTGTTTTGATTGATATGACTCTCTATGGATAATTTAACTGATTTGTGTCCAATGTAAAGTACATGCATAATTAAATGTGCAAAGCCCTATAAATTACATATTTATAGCTAAAGAAAGAAAAATTGCTTGATGCTATAACACCAGACTGTCAGCTTAGAAACAGATTTTTTTTTCGTGTAGGAAATTTAATTTTCAAAAACACAGAACCTTTGGAACAGAGCAAGCACCAAGGAGTAGACTTTCTCTTTCAGTTTATTAACTGTCAAGTGATTTTGTTAAAAAAGAAACAAACTTGGCAGATGATGAACCCATAATTTAGATGAATTGCTTTGCTCAGAGCGAGAAAGGTTAGAGAGATACAAATGTATGAAATAGTTGTCTTTGCCATTCCGAGATGGAAGAAATACTTCTGTTTTGTAGCTGATGACAAATGTGCAACTCTTTGATGTCATTCTGTTCAAAAAAAGGAAATTAGTAAGTTGTACCATTGGATCTAGTATCTTTCAATTTTATACAATTAGTTTATCCATCATAAGAACAGAAATCACTTCCTTAGTGTTGTTTGCAAAGCAGTTGATGGCAACTAGCTATACAATATGTAGAGTCCTGGAGTTTATAGCCACACCAAAATGGGAGCTATCTGCTCCAAAAAATGTCGATGGTTCTTGCCTCAGGGTTGAACGTAACATTTGTGCCCATCCAAGCCCATTGTGTTCTGCCTGGAAGCAGCTTGGAAACCAAGGGACCCTAATTTTATGTGCTCAGAATACGGAGTTCTTTGTTTCCATAGATTATGAAAAAGCAAATATCTAAAAACGTCTCTTAGCTTCTAGTTTCCTGGGTCTTCTACCAGCATTTATACTATTGCAGGATACTCCACATCTAGGTTAACTCAGCCATTCTGTCAGTCACTCTGAGTATCAGGGAGCCCCAGGTCCCTGCTCCCTCCCTTCTCCTGTGAGCTGGTGGCCTTTGTAGCCTCACTCAAAACGGAGCACCACTGAACTTCAGCCAGACCTATTGGCCTTTAGGCATGCTGGCCAATAATGTTAGAAAAATCAAAAGCTTATTTCTGGAACCCTTCATGCCCAACCAAAGTGAAAACCAAGATTTCTCCTCTCCACGTCTTTTCCCACATGCAGCCCGAAACTATCTCCTACTTGAGCCACTTTTGCCAGAAACAGCAGGAAAAAACACCAGGGCGGCTCAAGAGTGATCAGCTGTTTTCAGATCAAATGCCCTGCCTCTTATGTCCTTTCTGGGCCAGTTCTCACAGTTCTCTAGTACCTTCGCGGCTTTCTTCTCTCTCTCTCATGCAACTCTATATTTCTTTCTCAGTTCTTTCCTGCTTGTTTTTCTTCTTGTTTTACCTCCGTTCTGCCTCTCCTGTCTTCTTTTATTTTAGTCAAGCTTTCCATGACTCTTTCTCATTCTCTCCCGAGCCACAGTTCCCAGACACCTTTTACCTGTAACCAGAGCATAGGCCAGGAAAGCCTGCGAGGATCTCTCTCTTCCTCCTGTTCCTTTGACCTTGCAGGGTCCTGGCTGCCATTCTTTTGGTGCCCAAGATCCAGCACATGTTTCTCTCTGACTCCTCATCCGCATGTGAGAGGACCTACATGCCCAGAATTTAGCATCAGGGCCTTTAATATACTTACCAATGATTAGCATATTGTTTCTAGTTACTTTTAGGCATTTTAAAACAAACAAACTTAGTGAGGTAAAGAAACAACCGTTTTATTATGATCATAGATTCTATGAGTACAGAATTTGCACAGGGTCGTCACAGTGGAGATGGCTTGTCTCTGCTCCATGATGTCAGGGCTATAGCTGGGAGCTGAAATAATCCGGAAGGCTTCTTCACTCTCACATTTGATGGCTGGGATAACTCAGAGACAAGGTTCATGTAGCACTATTCGTCAGAGCGTCCACATACTGCTTCTCTATGTGACTTGGTCTTCTCAAAACATCATGGTGTCCTGTTTCTGAGTGGGAGTGTCCTAAGAGGAAGCTTCCAGAAAGCAACTATTCCAAGAGAACCAGACAAAAGCTGCATGGCTTTTTATGACTTAGCCTTAGAAGTCATACAGTTACATATCAAGATAATTAAGCATGCTTTATTGATTGAATCAGTCATAAGCCTTCCAGATTCAGGGGAGAGAGACATAAGCCTCACCAGCTAAAACAAAACATCTGTCTACAAAGTATATAATGCTCAAGTAAATTAAATACACAGTAGTTGCACTGTAGAGCAATGGGTGCATTTTGGAGACAAGTACTGTTTTTATGATAGATATGATCAGAGAAACTCCTGGTCTAGTTCATCAAAACAACTTATATGTCAAAAGTAAGATTTTAGGAACTATGTATGTAAAGGACAGGAAGAGAGATTTTAGGTGCAAAGAAGGAAGGTGTATATCTCAGCATAGGTGTGACCTCAGAAAAATCTGAGAAATAATGTTTGAATTGCCTGGGAGGCTCAAAGGAACTGAAGAAGAAAACTGAAATGAGATAAATAGCTTGACCTGCTGAAGAATCAGACAAGATGGTGCCAGACATGCTGATGGTTTGGGTTCCAATGCGTCACGAGAGCGCCGAGCTGCTGGAGAGGCGTCCTCATCGGACCCCTGGATCTGGAGTCAGACTGGCCTGACTTTGAGCCGCCACACTGCACTTCGAATTGTGCGATCTGAGACAGGTCATTGGAACTGTAAGACTCAGTTTCCTTATCTGTAAAATAGAGATTAAAACCACCTACCTCACAAGACTGAGGATTAAATATGATTATATAAAGGTGTGTGCTAGCTAGCACATAGCAGGCCCTCCGGAAATGTGGACTGACTCAGTTTTTGAAGATGAGGAATTTACCCAAACCATCTTACAGAGTTGAGTCAGAAACTCAGGAACTAAACGCAGCCCTCCCAGTGCTCCTCCACGCCTCTTCAAAGCCACAAGCCCGTGTGCTTGTCTTGTGCGAGAATCCATCATGTAGTAGGAACAAAAGGTTATCCGTAGACGACTTTCTTAGCAGGGTCCATTTCATTGTATACTAATCAGGCTGTCAAAATATTTTTCTCCCTTCAGCAAAGAGCCTGATTTCACTCTGAATTCATACTGGCGCAGATGGCCTTGAGATCAGGCATATTGTATATTGTATACACTTTGACAGTTTTTACAATTGAAGGTGGTCTCAAGAAACAAATCAATGTACTGACTTGGCAATTAATTCTGGCTAAAAAGGAAATACAGTTTCCTTGAAAAATTGGTTTAATTTTTATATTCAAGCTTCCATGTCCTTTGACCTGCTCTTATCAGCGAAGGTTAAACAGAGGGCACTGGGTCACAGCATGCTGGACGCGACTAATTAAATAGGGCTGAGCTGAGAAGGTGTCGCTGCTTGATTTAAAGGAGCAAAGCCCTCCTAAAGTCTCTTTGGGGCTTGAAAACCATTTTTTTGTTTCAGGGCTGTGAAACAGACAGAAAGCACTCTTAAAATTTAGCAGTAATTTTGTTTCAGCAATACTCACTAAAAGGACCCTGTTTCACCCACTGTTAGGTAAAGTAAATTCATCGAGACTTCCAAGCTGTAACATATCAGACCTGGTTCAAGCCCCCCAAGACTTCACATCAAGAGATGAGTTTAAAATGCTGCCTTTTCCCACAGGCCAGCAGCGGTGCTTCATTCCAGTGTGGGCTGCGAGTGTGTTCTGTGGGCTTCGCCTGTCCCCTTTGCCCTCCTGTCGCTCTGTCTGTTTGACATGTTTATTAAATAGAATCTTCAGGCTACACAGACTCAGACTCTCCTCCTGAGTTGCCCACCGCCGACAGCCCTTTGCCTGTCTGGAGAAAGGATCCCAGAAGCCTCGTTGCTGAGGGGCTTCATAGCTTGGCGGGGATTTTTTGTTTTGTTTTTTCACATTCTTTTGGGAGCCTTTGGTTTATAGTGCTGTTTACTTGAATAATACCTAGTTATTATGTATATTTCTGTTCTGTGTGAATGTAAATAACTAATTAGAAATATATATTTATCTCTGTGTACAAGAAAATATTTTCTCCTTCAGGTAAAAAAAAAAGAATTATTAGAAGTTAGCTAAATAGTAGATTTATAGGTGAATTTTATTATTTTTATACTTTTCCAAATTTTCTGCAGTAAGAGTATTTGTATAATTAGAAAAATTGAACTATTAAAAACGGAGGCCGGGTGTGGTGGCTCCCACCTATAATCCCAGCACTTTGGTAGGCCGAGGCAGGAGGGTCACTTACAGCCAGGAGTTTGAGACCAGCCTGAGCAACATAGTAAGACCCTGCCTCTACAAAAAATAAAAAGATTAGCCAGGCATGGTGGCATGTGCCTGTGGTCCCAGCTACTCAGGAGGCTGTGGCAGGAGGATCACTTGAGCCCAGGAGTTGGAGGTTGCAGTGAGCTGTGATGACACCACTGCACTCTAGTCTGGGGAACAAAGCAAGACACTGTCACCAAAAATAAATGAATAACTATGCTTTAGGTAGATAATGTTTTGATCCACATGGTACAGGAATTTGGTCTGCTGTGCTCAATTCTCTGTCCCTTTCAGGTTAAACATTGCACTTATTATGGTCATTTATTAGAGCAAGAACCCCTGAACTGAACTGTTAAGCATAGTGCTGTAGAAATGGCATGTTTTTCTAGCACCGTGGCAGAAAGGGCACAGGGCCCAGTCTTTGTGATTTGTAGTCATGGCTCTCCCTGGGCTGGGGAGTTCTAACTGCCCCTTGTCTTTGTCAGTCTATTGTAGGGGCAGAGGGCTTGTCCCTTGCATTCCGGCACATGGCCAGCTCCCTGCTGGGTCACTGCAGCCAAGTCTCCTGTGAAAGCCTCCTTCATGAGGTCATCGTCTGTGTGGGCTACTTCACTGTCAACCACCCAGATAACCAGGTAAGAGGCCCCGGCGAGTGCCTTAGACTGCTCCCCCGGCGCTGAGAGTGTGAGGTATCGGAGTGAGAAAAGGCAGGCTAGCCTGCTGGAACCCATCTGTGCTGCGTGAAGCCCTTTAACCAGGCTCCAGGGATATGTCTCTAGCTTCTTCTCTCCAATGAGATTTGATCAGCACTAGATTAGCACTAGGGCCTCCTCTTAGAGCTTTAACAATAAAATACCTTTAATAAAATATTCTTAAACCATACAGAAGCCTGTGTTCCCTTACCACATAGATTCTGCTGCTCTAGCCATCCATCTTTTGTTTCGATAAGGTGGCTTGCATCTTTCCACTTGGGTCACTTTCCAAACGGTATCACAGTCTGGTGCTCTATGAAACCGTTCTGGACTCTTGGCTTCTGCCTACGTGCTCAGAGGCTTCTAGGTGGTGTTGGATGAGGGGCTGAGAGAACAGGATCAGCCTCTACTCCCTGAGTCACTCGAGTAGTTTTGCTTTTAACTGCTTTGATTATCTGACGTCTTAGCAAGACTGCATTTGTAAAGAGGGCTCTACTGCTTTAAGAAGTTGGAAAATCTGTTACAGAGTTTGTAAAAAATAATAATAATAAAGCACCTTGTTTCTCTTATTTTTGTAACCAGAGTCATGGCATAACTAACATATCAAGCAGTAATTACTGACAGCCTCGTTTCTCTAAAGCCCCCTGCTCAGCAACCTTAATTGCATAGATCGTAGCTAAGAAAAAGGCCTCCGGAAAACCCCTTAACCCGCACTCTCAGCTTGCTGATTCTGTGGACAAATCTCTAACAGGGGTGTTGGCTAGGCGCATGGGCCGCAGTAGACTAGGCCAGGGCAGGCGGAGGAGACGGCCGTGCTGCGGCACCCGGCGCCGCGGGCGGAGCGGCAGCCCTGAGCGGGAAGCAGCGCAGGCGCGCGAGCTCGGAGATCACGGCCATCGGTGCTCAGAGCTCGGAGATCACGGCCATCGGTGCTCAGAGCTCGGAGATCACGGCCATCGGTGCTCAGAAGCACACTGAGCCCCGTTTTTTATTTCCCAGATGATCGTTGATGTCTCTAATGCTGAACCTGAGTGAGCACAGAGGCAAAGCGTGCGTTCAGTGCATTCCTTTTAAGAAGGCTGAGGAACGAGCAATCTGTTTTAGAAAGATTTCCATGGTTAACATACAGAAAATCTCGACCCCGCCAGAGTAAGTTCCGTACACAGAAAAGTTCCTCTTCTGCAGACTCTGCTGACAGGAGCATGGAAGGCAGCTTTCTCCCTCCCACCACAGCAGCACTCGGGCAATGTCCTTCCCTCCCAGGGCCTCCACCTGGGCGCCTGTCCTTTCTGGGGACCAGGCCCATCAGGTGCCGAGTCGCTCACAAGCTGCTCAGGGAAGGAGAGTTGAGGGAAATCTTCCGTGTGGATTTTTTTCTTCACATGCATCCATTCGACCTACCAAACTGCATTTTATTTTCTTTTAAAAGTTTTTTATTTTTCTAATGAAAAAAAAAATGATCCTTATTTATTGTGAAAAAGACAGGGCCAGCATAAAGAACAAAACGGAACCACAGTTATCCTGCTCTCCCGTCTGAGGCGGCCAGTGTTAGCCTTTCGGCAGGTTCCCCGCCGGCCCCTTTCCTACGAGTAGGTTGACGTGGCCGAGGTCGTGCGGTACAAACGCCCTCGTCCTGCTCGCTCGGCATAATGTCAGAATCGCTCTTTGTGAGACTTTTTCGTCACCTTGTCTTTGTCAGGCGTGTGAATATTTTTAATGGCTACATGGCTTTATCTTGTATGGACATTCATGGTTTACCTAGCAATTTCCTGTTTCATACTTAAATTGTTCCCGATAGATCATGACACTGTCTGCTGCATCGGAGAGAGGGGAGGAATCTGTGTGGTAACGTTTCGTCGTGTGCGGTTCTGTAGCAGAAGGTGGGTCCTTTCAGTGCGTCCCAGGCTAGTGATGGTTTGAAACTTTTTGCCTAAACCACCTCTGTTATGATAAACTTACTGAACTCAGAACTTTGTGGGATTTCAGAGGGTTTTTCTGCAGAGACTGGATCACAGACTAATACTCTCCTTTAGATGAAACACACACTCCGGTGCGTTGGGGCTCTCCAGAGTGAGTGGGAACTGGGGGACTTGCGTTTGGAGAGGGGCGGAAGACCTGGCTCCCAGCTGGTGGGACAGCGGCGGCGTGGCCCGCGGGTGGAGAGGAGAGCGGAGGAAGTGAGTGGAGGCAGCACCGGGCGACGCGGGAGGCGGACGCGGAGCCGAGACCCTGGCACTTGTCAATCGGGGAAGGAGAGGACGCAGTGGGGTTCGGCGATCACTGCTGAGAGGTGAGCTCACTCTGAGGAAGAAATCGGAGAAGTGAGAAAAGCCAGACCGTGTGTTTCAGCACCTTGCCGCTTAGAAGGCTGAATATTGAACTCGACATCCACTTCTGATTTGGGAGAAGATCAGAGAAGTCATTTCAGCTCTGGGGCAGTTGCCGAAATGGAACAATCTATGAGAAGAAAGAATTTGATTTTTAAAAGCAGAGAAAGAATAAGAAACTAACAGAAAAGACAGTGACCAGAAAAGGCTGAGACACGGCACCCTGCGGGGACGCTGTTTCTGAGCACAGCCGCCTGTACTTGCAGGGCTCTTCATGCTGTGCTTCCCGCCTGCCGGCTCCTGAGCCTCGTTAGCACGTCCGTGAGGCTGTGGCCCAAGTGAGGAACTGGGCTCCAAGAGGTAGGAAGCTCCCTGCCATTACGCAGAGACTCACTGGGAGATCAGGGCTGGAATCCAGGGCTTGCAAAGCCCAACTCAGTGCACCTTTCAGATCGCCTCACACTGCGTAAGAAAGTCACACGTCACGGGCACCGTCCACTGCGACGGAGCCCGCTCACCAGACAGCACATCGAGGAGCTGCCATCCTGCCCCTCTAGAGGCCGACTTGGAAGCTGTGAGCCTTTCCGGGAGACTCAGAAAGATCCTGGGAAGGTATAAATGGACATGTTTTATGAGCACAAATGGACCGCAGTGGAGCAAGTGGAAGGCCTGGGTTCCAACCTCAGCTCTGCCCCTAGCTCGGGGACCTTTGATAAATCCTTTCCCTTCTTGAGGCCTGAGCATCTCTGACTATGCAAAGAAGAAGGTTGGTTCTGGAAGTGGATGGTGGCGATAGTTGCACAATATTGTACATGAACTTAATGCCACTGAACTGTGGGGATAAAAGTGGCTGAAATGGCAAATTATATGTTATGTATAGTTTACACAATAAAATAAAGCAAATAAAAAAGAAGTGGATTGTACTAGATGAGTGCCCCTGTGAGCCCCATGAGTATGTGACATTTTAAAGGCTGAGACTGGAACCACAGACAGACCAGCATGATCTCATGGGGACTCCAAGCCATTTCGTGGCTTTTCAGATCTTCCTCGCCCTGTCCAGATTCTGTCTGCAGCAGGCAGCTTACTGAGCTGCCTGCCCACTACGCGGCAGCTTACCTTTGCGAGCCTCATCTGCTTCGGCGCCCCCAGCGTTAATAGAGGGGATCCACTGGCAGACACTCATAGCAGGGACTCCTCACGGGTGAGGTGTCGGGGGCCTGGCCCTGGGATGCCTTCTCCAGCACAGGCCCTCCCCAGCAGCAGCAGGCCGTGCTCAGCGGCGCGTGCTGGGCTCCCGGCCGGTCCTTTTGCAGGGCGAGGGCAGGGTATGGGAATAGCCTCAACTTGCTGAGGTGGTGACTGCTCCTTCCCCAGTAGAGCTGGGAAGTTTTCTATAACTGAAAAGCTAACTGTTGGTTTTCATTTTAAAAACTGGGTCTATTAAATTCCCTTCCTACTTCCCCTACCAAAACCCAGTAATTTGCTAAGTGAGCACTCACTAAGGGACTGTGGTCAGTGCAGTTTTAACCGCTCGCCCCAGCTTCAGTCGCAGGTTCACGGAGCTTCATCCCGGATGGGCGCTGGGAGATTTCCAGTCCAGCTCCCCCATGTCGTAGGTGGGGAAGCTGAGGCTCAGAGAAGGAAAAGGAATTACCAAGCAAGAACTAGCAGAGCCCCGCCTCACCACCGGCAGTCCGGTGAGTTTACAGCTCACTTCGATTCTTACGAAAGTGAATTTATTTTGCCTGATGCCACTTTCTCTAAATCAGAGGAATTTCATAAAACTTATGATGCTTAATTCATTTAAAGTTTCCATATCATTAGTCACGGGTCATGTTAATTTGCAGAGCCGGTTTGTCCACTGGGGATCCTCGAGTTCCCACTGGGGAAACAGCTGGCGTCTTTATAAGACAGGGGACCCTGAAATCCTACTGTTGTAAGGTTGTTTGATTAGGTAACTGCTTTGCATAAAGGATTGGCGCTTTCTGTTTGTTACCATTTAGTCTATTAACTGGAAGGATTGAGCCCCATGACACCAAGGATGACTTCAGAAGAAAAACCTGGATAATAAAAGTAATGCCCCATCCTTGATGGAACGAATCATCTGTTTCCTATAGGGTTGCAGTTTCTAATTAAAATGTTGTTGTTTTAATCAAAAGCTTCCCTGTATTTTATGGCACTTTCGTGACTCCCTTTAAATTCCTTCCCATTTAATTATTATAATGAACATAATTAGTATGTGCTGTCAGCCCTTCACTTTATTTACATTTTGTATTGGATAATTAAATGTGGTCTGATAATTAAATTAACTCCAATGACAGATGATTTGACTGCCTGCATATTACTATATTGGGAGTAAGCACCTTTGCATATTCATTTTAGTTAGCAACTGACTTTTTCATCTGGAAATGCCCCATCGATTCCAGCTGTCAGAGATGGAGTCTCTGCTGATAGCTGAAAGCAAGGGTCCCTTTGTCTCCCTCCCCCATCTAGCTCCTCTGTAGTGAAGTCCCTGAGGATCACGCAGCTGTCTGGTCCACGCCACACGTGCCAAAAGCTCCTGAACGCCCCTGAGTAGGTAAGAACAAGCGAGCAGGCTGCACGTGAGGCTGCTGG